CTTTTTTTTTACACTTTTTTTTTTTGCCCGCTGTTGGTTTTCCCCCCCCCCCCCCCCGCCGGTCCCCGTCGTGACCTTTGCCACAGTGAGGGGGTGCATCTGCAGAGGTAGATGGTATTTGCTCTACGGTGTGTTAGGCATTAGTTCTGACCCACTCCGATGGATTTTCCTAATTTGACGAGACGTGAATGAAGGGACGGCAGCGGTTCTGACCGGCCGTCTCTAGCCGCCCACCACTTCGGTTGAAGCGTAACAAAGTGGTGGGTCGCGTTTTACACGAGTGACGGTGTAAGACAGTGACTTAAACGTCCACCGTGCACAGAGGCTCTCCCCCCGGCTGGTCCGACTGCATTATCGTCATCTTCGGCTTCTTCCTTGTTTCCTCCTGGAATTAACACAGACAGGAATGTTTCATTAGTGTCGCAGCAGCAGCAACAACAACAACAACAGCAATAATCCTGACATTTTGAATCTACGTGTCTGCCTGGTCATTAGCAGCATTAGCATCATTAGCAGCGTTAGCAGCACTTTTAGCAGCATTAACAGCATGAGAAGTAGCGTTAGCAGCACTGTTAGCAACATTAACAGCAGCACTAGCCGCATAAAAAGTAACGTTGGCAGCATTAGCATCACTGTTAGCAAAATTTACAGCAGCATTAGCAGCATGAGAAGTAGCCTGAGCATCGTTAGCAGCACTGTTAGCAACATTAACAGCAGCATTATAGCAATGAGTAGCATTAGCAACATTAATAGCAGCACCAGCCGCATTAGCAGCATAAAAAGCAGCATTAGCAGCACTGTTAGCGACATTTACAACAGCACTAGCCGCATTAGCAGGATAAGAAGTAGAGTCAGCAGCACTGTTAGCAACATTAACAGCAGCATTATAAGAATGAGAAGTAGCATTAGCAGCATTAGCAGCACTGTTAGAAACATTAATAGCAGGACCAGCCGCATCAGCAGCACGAGAAGTAGCTAGTAGTTAGTGTCGTTAGCGGCTCACCCTCTGTGCTGCCAGTTTTATCATCTCCTCCTGCAGCTTGTTCAGGATGTGCAGGTTGGGTTTGTTCTTCTTGGCGAACTGCTGCAGCTCGATCACACTTTTGTCTGAGTTCTCCTGTGAGACAGAACCGAGGAAACATTCAACATTCAACCACAGTACTTACAGCGCCCCCTACTGGACCCCCCTCTCCTGACGGCACCCACCTTCTTCACCA